TGGATTGTATATGCTTAATTTCAAGATGTATATATTTGAAGGATGTTTGGTTGGATTTTGAAGTGTCGGTTACTATTCATGGCCGACTCCGTTTTCGTTTTTTTTTATTTTGTGATTTTGACTTGTTTACGCGCGTTTGTATGTTCCGGAACGTATTAGATCGCTCTAAACTGAACGGTTAGTCCTGGCGAGAGCTGGGCAGGCAGTCCGCTAACCCCTTTGGTTCGCCTTAGGGGAAGGTGGGGCTGTCACAGTATATCTTACGTATATTTTGCTAAGCTTCATGAGTTGTGAATACCTAGTTTTCTCTTTTGGTCTCTCACGTCTTTTGGGTCTAAATGTTTTTCTTTTCACATTAACATCTTACTTGAATCATAGCCCTAGAATGCACTTGGATATTTCTTGATTAGCACTTTCAAATTGTCTTTGAATCTTGTGTTTTGAGAGGCCAAACTTGGATAGACGTATGGCTCATAGTTGAGTCTAAAATGTGTACATCATTAACCTAAGCTTTGAATGGTCGGACCATGACACTTGTCTTAGTTACTTTTAGGGTTTGATGGTGAAAACGAGCATAACCTAGGGACGAACGCTTGACGTTGCTCTACTTTGAATCGGTGAGTGTACCACTTGCATGACTTGTTGTTTAAGTGAACTACTTGTGACTGAAATTTATGCTTTGTATGACCGTGACTTTGATTTAATCTGGACTGGACGGGTGTGTACTTTATCACACTCAATTTCACTTGACTGTTTGACTGGTCTACTGTTCATTTGAAATTTGTTACTTGTGCATGAATTTGATATCGTTTGGAGCCCAATATCCGATGACCTTACTGTGAATTTGAGTTCAAACCTCATTGGTAGTTAATCGAATCGAGCCAACAAGGGCTTGGTCGAGATAGATTGACGGACCATGAGGAAAACTATCACTGATTGACTAAGTACTGGATTCTTCCGATATTTGGTATACTCGAATATTATCACCACTGTTTCTATTTGGTGTTCGAGCCCGATAAGGGGTATGATTGGTGGACGAAAACTGGTGTAAAGCGGGGATCTACGGTCAATGTTTTTGCTTCTCTAAAAGTTGACAGAGTGTCAACAGGCTTGGATCAAGCTAATACAACTGGGAATTTGGCTCCTGAGAGCCAACTGTATCCTGTTACTTGAAGCACTTTGTGTTAATGGTGGTGTTTACTTATCTCCCTAATTGATGCTTATATTTGACAGTTTAAAGTTTGAACTATGTGATTTTTGATTGCGTGAACCTGTGGTACCTCATTGGGCGAAAGTTCACTCTGTCACCTTTGTTTTCCTTACAGGGGGCGAAGTCTTGGGATCATGATTTTTGGGGAAGAGTTGAGCTAGTTATAGACTTTAGGCATTTTGTTTAAAATTCTCTGTAATAGTAAACCTTATATGTATTTGTATAAGATTGAATACTTTGGTTTGTACTTTAAGTTGAATTGTTGGTGACTCTATTGTATATAGTACTGAGTTGACGATTTGAAGTTAATTGTGCGTTTTAGTGCCTTCTGTGAATTTTTGGGTTAGTTAGTCCTAGCGAGAGTTAGGCAAACAGTCCGCTAACTCTTGGGGTATGCCCTAAAGGAAGGTGGGGCTGTCACAAATAGGGCTGCTCTCAAATATTCTACCTATGATAAGGAGTTGTACATGTTTGTTGGTGCATTAGAAGCGTGGCAGCATTGCTTGCGAGCCAAGGAATTTGTCATCAACACTGATCATGAGCCACTTAAGCATTTGAAGGCTCAACACAAGCTAAACAAAAGGCATGCTCGATGGGTTGCTTTCATTGAGACATTTCCTACATCATCAAATATAAATCGGGTAAGTCTAGTGTTGTATCTAATGCTTTATCTCATAGATATTTCATTACTTATAGCTTTAAATGCTAAATTGCTTGGATTTGAGTTAATGAAAGAGTCATATGCTAATGATTCTGATTATGGTGACATTTATGCTTCTTGTACCAAGGTTGCCCAATGTAAGTTTTATTTGTAAAATGGTTTTCTCTTTTACCTTGATAAGTTATGCATTCCTCATGGATCAATACGTGACTTACTTATTAAGGAGTCACATGGAGGCAGACTAATGGGACACTTCGATATTGTCAACACTTTATCTATTTTGTAGGAACACTTCTATTGGCCACATATGAGAAAGGATGTAAAACGCATGGTGGAGTGTTGTGGAGTGTGTCATAGAACTAAGTCCAGAGTTAACCCATTCAGTTTGTATGTTCCACTTCTTATTCCTAACCAGCCTTGGGTTTGATCTTTCCATTGTGCTTGGTTTACCGAGTTCTAAAAGCAGTCATGATAGTATATTTGTGGTAGACAATAAATTTTCTAAAATGACACATTTTATATCATGTCATAAAATGGATGATGCATTACATATTGCTAACTTATTTTTTAAGGAAATAGCTCGTTTGCATGGTATACCCAAAACAATTGTGTTGGATAGAGATGTTAAATTCTTGAGCTACTTTGGAAATCCTTATGGGGTAAATTGGGAACGAAATTGTTGTTCTCTACAACTAGTCATCCTCGAATAGATGGACAAACTGAGATAGTCAATAGAACTTGTCAACTCTTTTGCATGCAATAATTAAGAAAAACCTCAGAACTTGGGAATAATGTTTGTTGCATGTAGAGTTTGCATATAATAGAACTGTACACAATGCTACTCAATACTCACCTTTTGAAGTTGTGTGTGATTTTAATCCTTTGACTCCTTTAGATTTATTGCCTTTACCTATAAATGAACATGTTAATTTGGATGGAAAGAAAAAGGCAGAGTTTGTACATTCTTTGCATAAGAAAGTCCGAGCCAACATTGACAACATGCTACTCAGTAAGTCCAACAAGCCAATAAAGGACGTAAGAAAGTTATTTTTGAATCTAGAGATTTGGTTTGGTTGCATCTACACAAGGAACAATTTCCTTTGCAAAGGCATAGTCAGCTATCTCCAAGGAGTCCTTTCCAAGTATTGGAGAAAATCAATGACAATGACTATTGACTCGACCTACCGGGTGAGTATAACGTAAGTGCTATTTTTAATATGGCTGATTTGAATCCTTTTCTTGAAAATGATGAGCAAGATTTGCAACAAACCCTTCTCAAGAGGAGGTGAATGATGCGGGAGCTCAAGTTGTCTGTAAGGTTCAAACTTCAAGTTTTGATCTAGTGAAGGTTCTTGTTGGTCCAGTCACACGAGCTCGAGCTAAAAAGTTCAAAGACTCACTTCAAGCATTGGTTCGTATTGTTCAAGAGCAAAAAGGTGATTATAAGTATATTGAAGGGGATGAGTTGGAGAATCAACATCAACCAACCAAGACTTTAATTCACATTGAAGATGTTGATGATTGAACCGCCATAAACCCTAATTCATGAGATCAAGGAGCGGATCAAGTTGTTTATTGTTTTGAGTCATTTTTCACTTAGTTTTCATGAGCTTAGTTTAGTCATTTATGTTGAATAAATTTGGGCATGTAAGTTGGATCCCTTTTTGTTGCTTGATTCTTTGAGTCATTTGGGCCCTTCTAGATAGGAGAATAAAATTGGCCAACTTTAGACTAAGTTAGGCCTTAATTAGTTCATTTGTTAGTTAGTTAAGTAGTTTAATTTTGACCCATTTGGTTTTATAATTTGGCTATAAATAGACGACTTTAAGACAAGAAATACACGACTTTTGAGAATTTTCCAACAAACTATTTCTTAAGTGAAATAATTTTTTGGTATGTAAAAGCTACTTTTGAACATTTTAGAGTAGTTTTTAAGGTGCTCATCGACTTATCAATCAAGTGATCACCTTGATTGTGACATTGTCTACCAATCTTGACGTTCTTGTGCAGTCCAAGTTCTTTTAGATTTCTGTTGCTCAAACGTTGATACTCTATTCTAGATCTTGTGGCTTGTGTGTTATGAGTTATGTCTGAAATAAGACTTACATTGTATCATTTGGTTTGCAAAAAAAAAAAAAAAGAATAGGTGTATGTATATGTGTGTGTATGATGTCATTCGGTTTGACAAGGTCAAACCCATTGACCCCTAACTCCTAAGTCAGCCGACTCAATGCCTCGATCCAAGAATTATTCCTAATAAACTTTTGCACCTAAAATTCGTAAATAAACTACATAATTACACCAATCATAAATAAAATTTTGCACTTGAAGATTGGTGGATTACTAATTAAATTTAGATTTTGCTAATTCTCATAATAATTATTAATTTTATAACTACATAAATTAAATAAGCATTTGTTATGGCATATTTTATACCATAAACCCTATATTAATATTTATGAGATATAATATTTAAATATATTTAGTGATCCCACTTACCTATGATTAAACCAGTAACTGATTGACCCACCTCCTTTGTCGGATTCAATAACTATTGTTGAAATCCCATAAACAAGAGGTCATGCATTCAAAATTTCCCTTCTCCTTTCTTGCTTTTTAACTCTTCTAATGGAAGCTATTGTCTCCTAAAGGAGACTTGAGCTAGGAGTTAATGCAACTACCGGCTCGTTATCCTCTTAGGAAATAGAGCAAATGGCCGCCAATGCTTCTTTCTATTTACGGTCCCTCTCTCCACCTCTTCTCAATCTAGTAATTCAAAATAATTAATTAAAAATTAAGAATTGAAAAATCCTACTCTTTTTCAGCTCAAATAGAAAAAATCGGTATCAAATTACTCTAACCACGGCAAAAGTCAAACACAAAACCAATTGTAATTCTAGGGTGCATTTTGCAATTAGCCCTAGCGGTCTAGAGTCCATCCAAGACTCCGAACCCCAAAAACAAAGGGTATTTCTGTAATCTCGTCGAAACCCTTCTATCCCTATTCCCACATATAAACCCGAGTCACCTTCTCTGCCCTTTGGCACCTCCGCTTCCCCAAAAAATTCATCTCCCTGTTCTTTCCGTTATTCCTTCGCATTTCCGTGCAATTTCTCACTAAGCCGGAAAATGTCATCCCAACAACTAGTTGAAACACACAAGGAAAACGCCCAGATATACACCGACCCATCTCTCTGCAAGGTAAAATCAAAGGAACTTCTAGAGAAAATCAATCTTCCGAGGGGACTACTCCCCTTAGACGACGTCGTTGAGGTTGGCTACAATGAATCAACCGGGTTTGTTTGGCTGAAGCAGAAGAAACAGAAGCAGCACAGATTCAGTGCGATAAGCCGCAACGTAAGTTACGACACGAACATCACGGCTTTTATTGAGGACCGTCGGATGAAACGGTTGACAAGCTTCAAGAGTAAGGAGCTTTTCATCTGGGTAACAATTTCTGAGATTTCTATTCAGGACCCCAGTTCGCAAAAAATTACTTTTGCTACCCCAACTGGGATTTCCAGAAGCTTTCCGGTTTCTGCATTTGAGGAGGAAGAAGAGGACAAGAATTAAATTTTAGAAGGGTGCAAGGGCTAGGAGGGGTTGGAAGTGTTATTTGGGAATAATTAATTTTGTTTGTGATAAATTGATAATATGTGTTTGTTTAGTGGTGTAATTTCTATTTTGACTTTGTGGTATCCAGTTATCAAAAAAAAAACTTTGTGGTATCCACAAATTACTTTGCCTTTACTCTTAAATCTTTGCAGGTTCGCTTATAGTTTAAGCTAAAATTTAAAAAAAAAATGATGGGCTTAAACTGTTTCTTGTTTATCAATTTCTCCATCTTTAATTAATTGACCATTGAAATTGCTCCAAATGGACAATTTTTCTACAAACTCAGCAGTCCAACCAGTTGTTTCTTCCTTGGTAACCGAAGAATTCTATAAAGAGGATTAAATTTATCATTTATTGAAGAATGGTCAGTTTTCGGAACCAACAGAGAACAAGTAGGCGATAATAAAATATGGGTTATTTTTGTTTAATTTTTTACTAGCAAAGAAGTGGTAGGATTTTTTCTTTTTTCTTTTTTTTTTGATGGAAAGCGATAAGATTTAAAAAATAGAAAACGGCAGGACATTAAGTAATTATAAAATATGTGGTTTTAGATACATTAAATTTGAATTTTTTTTAAATTTTATACCATCATGTCTAATGTTATTCACATTCGAAATGCATTTTGACGAAAGGTTCACAAACAAAAGATGGAAGATTAAGGGGAGAGATGAAATCCACACATTATTAGTTTCTTATTTCATACCGATTACATCTTGGTTAATTCGCTTTTTTTTTTTTTTGGTCATAAGTTCAAATCTTAAATTCATTGCGTCGTACTATATTTGGCCTGTAAAGGAAGGATCCAATGACAGCAGTAAAAAAGGCAACTCGGAGTGGAGGGAGTTCCAGGAGGCTCAGGAATTGGAAGGGGAACTGGTAGCTATAGGAACAAAGGAAAGGAGGGATTGTGTGGCTGAAGGAACCAGAAGAGGGGTGAGTTAAGATAAATTCTAATGCAGTTGTGCAACAAAAGACAGACAGAGCTGGATGGGGGATGATTGCAAGGGACTGTGAAGGAAACATTCTGGGAGCTTGGGCAGTGCCAAATACAAGCTGTTCAAATGCAAAACAAGAGGAAGCTCTGGCTTTAAGAGCTGCTATGCTTATGGCAAAACAATAGGGCTAGAGAAGAGTGGTGCTCGAATCAGATTGTAAGTAACTCATTGATAAAATAAATGGTGGGGAAGGAGACTCAGCTATTGCAACTGTATTGTCGGATATAGTTAGTTTGAAATTCAACTTTTATGAACGTTGTTTTTCCTTCACGAGTAGGATTAACAACTCTGTTAGTCATTGTTTGGCAAACTTAGCTTTAAGCTTGAAAGGAACAGCTAAATGGAAGACAGACTTCCCAACTTGGCTGCTTGAATTGCTTCAAGCAGATTGTAGGGGCAGTTGCTTCAAAAGTTTGTAATCTGTTTTGGTATATAAATGAAGTGTTGCCGTTGAGGAAAAAAAAAAGTACTATATTTGGCCAGTAGAAAAATCTGCTTACTGCATAAAACTGCCGTTTCCACGTCTTAATAATAGAGAAAGAGCCTGTTGCCGTATTGGCATTTCCGGATGGAAGTTCCCTACGATTTGTTTCCTAAAATTTCCAGTCCTTGAACTTTGACTAGTATACGTTGACAGTAGAGATGGGGAAAGGCCAATTTCATGCCAAGGACAGAAGCCTAAAGGACGGCGACCCAAGGGCAAATTCCAAATGTAAAGTTTCTGCGCCTTGTTTATATATTTCTGCCCACAACCTGTTTCTCTAGTTCTTCCTTAGTTTTTGGGATAATATCTAAAACCTCTCCAGATATTTCTCTCAAAAACGCTCATAATCCTTAAAATTTAAAAGTATCACTTACCTCTCGTATTTTTATTATTTATGTAACAAAATTTTAAAAAATCCTAAACTATCCTATTACTCACTTTGCTAAATAAAATACTCCTAAGACACTATATTTACTTCAAAAAAAAAACTATCACCTAAAAACAAACTCTAATAGTATCACTACCTCACAAAGTTATAGTCTGTAAAAATATAAATTTGGAAAACATAAAAGATATTTATAAAGAAATATACTAATACCAATTTAACTCTATATGCTCAAAACCGATTTTTTATAAACCTTATTTTTTTTTCCAATTTCTTCTCAACCCATGGCCTAAACATTTAAGTTGTACTAATCATTACAAAAATTAACTCAGAATAAAACAAATAAATCACACCCCACTCTATCACAATGACAAAAAGTAAAAGATAAATAAAATTCAATTTATTATAATTTATAAATAAAAAATTGCATAATCATTCAAAGAAATGAATAAGAGAGAATGTCGGAGAAAGAAAAAAGAGAAGAAAGTGACTTTTGTTTCTTTTTCTTTTTCAAATTTTTAGACCTCCATTTATTTGATATATGAATTATATATCAATCAAGAGTTACTATAGTCTTTTTACAATTATTAAAAGAAGTAAGTGATATTTTTAAAATTTTTAAAATGCTAAGTGATATAGGAGAAATCGCAGGGAGAGATTTCTATTATTATCCCTAGTTTCTTTATGCAAGACTCTTGTGATCATTCTACATCATCATTGCAGCTTCAAATTTGATTAGTTTTTCGAAACTGATTTCCACAATTCTATTTCATAGAATTTGGATCCATCTAGTTCAGTTATAACTAGTCCTATTTGATTGATGTAATTCTTGCAAATTTTGTTGTAATTTCATACGATTTTAGTATAATGGTGAAATTTTATCAATTTATATGATTATGATGTAAAATTCATGATTACCAAAAACTATATGAATTACATTAACTGGACAGATTGAGGATCTAAGGATTAGAAGTCACAGGTTCAAATCTCTTTGACACCTTCCCGTTTCTTAGTTCCCATATGACAGATTGACAGTAGCCCAACTACTTAGGGAAAATCTCCAATTTCTTTTTTTTTTTTTAACAATCGGTGTTAGTTTACTCTACATTTATTCCTACTCTAACATTCTAAGGGGTAGGGCTCAACTGGACTAATGAAGGAATCGATGGGAACTGAATCACCATCGAACCAGATGGGTACGTAACGTACCTGTAGTGATTTTAAACCACTTCAGTGACAAGCCATATATAGTCGCAATTGATGAAAGACAAAATTGGAACCCTTGACTTACCGCTCCCATCAAGGTGATAGTGGCCAAAGGCGGTTGGTTTCTTTTTTTTGTCTTATTCAATTCAACCCTTTGTTGGCATACGGTGCAGAAGAACACCATAGTCATTAATACCCAGTTGACACCACCAACTGTCATAAATTAAAGCATCGGTAGGTTCGTATCAGGAAACAAAGCTTGATTGCAAAAGCCAAAGATATCAAATGAGTTTTGATTTCTAATCAGCCTCTATTTGTACTTTTGTACAAAGAGGTGTTGGTTATTTTTAACGAAATTGATAACCCTTGATACGAATCTCATTGGTGAAGTAGATTCGCGACCCAAGATCGCTTATTGGATTTGACTTCAAACGCGAGAAACGGTGGCAGCGGAAACCCTACGACCCCTCTAATCCCCGTACTATGATGCTATCATTCCCCTCCTTTTGAGAAAGATTTGCCCTCAAATCAAAAGCATCATCTGCATCAAAAGAAGCTAAGTCAGAAACATTAAATGTAGCACTAACTCCATACTCACCAGGACGATCAAGTTTGTAGGCGTTGTCATTGATTCGCTCCAACACTTGAAAAGGTCCATCACCCCGTGGTTGTAATTTGTTTCTCCTTTGAACAGGAAAACGTTCCTTGCGCATGTGCAACCACACCTAATCGCTAGGTTCAAAAATTAACTTTTGCCGACCCTTGTTAGTTTGCTTGACATATTGAGCAGTTCTCCTCTCAATGTTGGCCCGGACTTTCTCATGCAGTTGCTTAACAAACTCTGCACGTTGTTTACCATCCAAATGTGCACGCTCATTACTAGGTAATGGCACTAGATCAAGTGGTGTTAGCGGATTAAAACCATAAACACATTCAAATGGAGAGAAACCAGTAGTAGAATTGACAGCCCTATTATAAGCAAACTCTACATGAGGTAAACACTCTTCCCATGATTTCAAGTTCTTTTTGATGATGGCACGCAACAAGGTACCTAATGTACGATTCACCACCTCAGTTTGACCATCAGTTTGGGGATGGCTAGCAGTAGAGAATAGCAATTTGGTGCCTAACTTAGACCAGAGTGTCTTCTAAAAATAGCTCAAAAATTTGACATCTCTATCAGATATAATGGTCCTAGGAATGCCATGCAATCTCACAATCTCTTTAAAGAATAAGTTAGTAATATGAGATGCATCATCTGTTTTATGACAAGCAATGAAGTGTGCCATTTTAGAGAATCTATCAACTACCACATAAATGGAGTCATGGCCACACTTGGATCTAGGCAAACCAAGTATAAAATCCATAGAAATATCGACCCATGGTGCACTAGAGATAGGTAACGGGGTGTAAAGACCATACGGGTGTACCTTGGATTTAGCTTTCTTACAAGCTAAGTATCGCTCCACCACCCGTGCAACATCTCTCCTCATGTACGGCCAATAGAAGTGTTCCTGCAACATGGTAAGAGTCTTATCAACCCCAAAGTGTCCCATAAGTCCACTTGAGTGGGATTCCCTTACCAAGAGCTCTCGGAGTGATCAATATGGGATGCAAAGTCGATTGGCACAAAACAAGTAACCATCGGAAATGAAGAACTTACCTTGCCCAGTGTGTTTGCAAGAAGTGTAAAGCTCACCGAAGTCACTATCTTGGGTATAGAGCTCTTTAATTAGCTCAAACCCTAACAACTTAGCATCTAAGAAGATGAGTAGAGAGTGCCTTCGGGAGAGTGCATCCGTAACCACATTAGACTTACTAGCCTTGTATTTAATCACGTATGGAAAGGACTCCACGAATGCAATCCACCTTGCATGCTTCTTGCTCAAGGTGTGCTGGGCCTTAAGGTACTTAAGGGACTCATGATCGGTATGTATCATGAATTCCTTAGGTCTTAAGTAGTGCTGCCACACTTGTAGTGCTCAAATGAGGGCGTACAGCTCTTTATCATAAGTTGAGTAGTTCAGTGCAGCCCTATTGAGTTTCTCACTAAAGTAGGCAATAGGCCTTCCACCTTGGTTCAACACAACCCGTAAAGCACGTACAGGTGCGTGTGTGAGTTGGTGCTTTAAAGCGCGAAAAGCCTGTTCTTGAGATTCTCCCCAATGGAAGTTCTCTCATTCTTCTTGATCAACTCAGTCAAGGGGGCAGCAATGGTGCTAAAGTCTCTCACGAATCTCCTACAGAAACCTGCAAGTCCATGGAAGCTCCGAACATCGCCCACAGATCTTGGTGTTGGCCATTCATGGATAGCTTTCACCTTTTGGTCATCCACCTTCATTCCCTGCGCACTTATAACAAACCCTAGAAACACAAACTCATTAGTGCAAAAATTGCACTTCTTGAGATTGGCATAGAGCTTCTCTCTTCGAAGTACATCCATAACAACCATAATATGCTCTAGGTGTTCATCATAAGATTTGCTATAAATTAGGATATCATCAAAGTAAACTACCACAAATTTTTCTAATAATGGACGTAGAACATGGTTCATTAACCTCAGGAAGGTACTAGGTGCATTAGTTAACCCAAAAGGCATCACTAACCACTCATACAATCCATACTTAGTTTTGAAGGCAGTTTTCCATTCATCCCCTCCTTAATCCTAATTTGATAGTACCCACTTTTGAGATCAATTTTGGTAAAGAACACAGCCCCATGTAACTCATCAAGCATGTCATCTAAGCGAGGTGTAGGGTGGCGATACTTTACCGTGATGGCATTTACGGCTCTACAATCGGTGCACATTCTCCACGTACCATCTTTCTTGGGCACCAAAATGACTGGGACAGCACACGGGCTTAAGCTCTCACGTGCCCATCCTTTGCCAAGCAACTCATCCACTTGCCTTTGCAACTCCTTAGTCTCCTCCGGGTTGCTCTTGTAAGCTGGTCGATTTGGCAATGAAGCCCTACGGATGAAATCAATTTGATGCTCAATGCCTCTAAGTGGCGGCAATCCACTTGGCACATCCTCGGGGAAGACATCAGCATATTCCTGTAAAAGAGACTTAACCTCGAGAGGTATGTCAATATCAAATTCATGCACATGCAGAGCTACTTCTTTGCTAACAAGCATAAGAAGTGGCTGCTCATCTCTCATTAACTTCCTTATTTTCTTGGCTTTTATCAGGAGCATTTGTTTTCCCTCGGATTTTACCTCACTTGTCGAGCTATCTATAGCCTTTTTCCTCTCTTTTTTTGCCTCGGCTCTCTCATTTGCTTTCCTTTCTGCACTATACTTCTCAAACTCTTGTTGCAATTTCAATTGGTCCTCATGCACTTGTTTGGGGGAAAGGGGAGCTAGTGTGACTTTCTTACTATTGTACAAGAAGTTATACTTATTAATCACACCATCAAAAGTTACCTGTCTGTCAAACTGCCAAGGCCTACCAAGTATAATGTGACTAGCCTGCATAGGAACTACATCACATAATACTTCATCAGAATATTTATGGATTTGGAAGGATATAAGAACCTACTTGGTTACTCGAACCTCCCCAAAATTGTTGAGCCATTGAAGTTTGTAGGGTCGCGGGTGATCCCTTGTAGGCAACTTCAAGTTGTCCACCATGAGTGAACTAGCTACATTTGTGCAGCTCCCACTATCAATAATCACACTACAAAGTGCTTGGTTGACGAAGCACCTGGTGTAGAAAATGTTCTCCCATTGAAGCTCGTCCTCCTTAACACGTGCAGTTAATGCTCTCCTTGCAACCAATGCAGTTCCAAAATGACCCTCGGGTGCACTAAACTCCTCTTCATTTGGCGATTCACCATCACTACCTCCGTCAAGAGGTGGCATGCCTTCGTACTCGGTTTCGTCCTCACTCACGATCTCGCCATTTTGCATCATAATCATAGTCTTTTGATCAGGACATTGACTAGCAATATTGCCTCTACCTTGGCATTTGAAGCATCGAGTATCACGAGCTCTAGTTTGTGCCCTAGGCTCCTCAAATTTTGGAGTAGAAGAGGGTGGCTTACCAACATTAGGGTTGCCCACCTTACCTCCCTCGAATCTCGGCTTTGGTGTAGGAGCATTTGGCGAAGGCCGAGAATCATTCCTTGGTTGGAATGGGCGGTTGGTAGAGTAGGTGGTATTGCCGAAATTCGATCAAGTGGTACCCCTCCTTTTGAGCCTTTGCTCGACCTTAATAGCCTTGTCTACAAGCTCATGCAACTCCATATAGTGTTGAAGTTCCACTCGTTCAGCAATATCGGGTCGTAACCCGCTCAGGAATCTAGCCATGGTGGCCTCGGGATCCTCTTGTACATCCGCTCTGAGCATCAGGATCTCCATCTCCTTATGGTACTCATCCACACTCCGGTTGCCTTGGACTAGGGTTTGTAATCGGTGGTACAAATCCCTAGTATAGTGCCCAAGAACAAATCGGGTGCGCATCATGGCGGGAAGCTCGGGCCATGGAATGAGCTCGGGTAGCCCATTTCTCCTTCTAGACTTCTTGATTTGGTCCCACCAAACCACAGCGTACTCAGTGAATTCCATGGTTGCCAATTGCACCTTTTGTACCTCGGTGTAGTTTTGGCAAGAAAAGACCATTTTGATCTTGGATAACCATTCGAGAAAGGCCTCGGGGTCGGACCGTCCTTTGAATTCAGGGATGTTTATTTTGATTCCCTTGAACACAGCGGTAGGTCTAGCCTGGTTCCTTTGCCGTGGTCGAATGCGAGGTTCCTCGTCATCATCATCATCGTTCATCATCTTCGTGTGGACTTAGAAGTTTTTGGTGTTCCAGACGCTCGGAGTTGCAGCAACTCATCTTGAATGGGTTCTAGCATGCGTTGGAAACGCCTCTCCATTTGCTCCATCATCTGTTCAAAATCCATGGGGCAGGATACTCCTTCGTTTTCCACTAGACATGGAGTCGCTGGTGTACCTGCAAGGGTTAGTAGCAAAGAAAGGGGAAAAAGTAACGTTTTCTTTTGCCTTTTTTTTTAGTCACTTCACTCCCTAAGTGTATACTCTCACACTCGTATATGGTTATTCAGATCACTCTAATAAGCTCACCAAAATTTCCTCACAGCCCCTCGCAAAAACCTTGAAGAAATTAGAATTCCTCAAGTTCTCACAGTTAGCTTAAAAATCAAGTTCACGTTAGAATTTGAGGTTCGTAAGAGTGGAAATTTTCTTGGAAAACAAAATTAGGACACTAGGAATGGAGTGGTAGAATATATTCCTGAATAAAAATTGGGGAAAGACTTGACACAAAAGTTACAAAAATTAAGAATGATGAGCGAAGGTCCTAACCGACAAGGAAATTATTTCTTTTGCCTTGCTGGAGTTCTTGGTCAGCTTACCAACCAAGGTCACCAAATGCTTAGCAGTCGAATGGGAGAAAATGAAAGACTCAATAAACGACTCAAGGCTTACCTGGACTCAATAAACGACTCAATAAACGACTCAAGTCTGACCTTTACGAAGCCTAGACAAAACGCTATTGACTCTTGCTTGCTGGAATTTCGTTTTACCATTGCCTTGGGTTCAGCTGGGGTTTTTATGCAGAATTGGTTCTGTGTGCAATGCTCAAGGATATATTCAAAAGGTGTTGTGGCCACAGTGGGAGGGAAGTGCTAGTGGGCGGTTGGTTTGTTTAGGAAAACTGGTTTGTAGTGTGGTGTTTAGGAGACAAGGTGTAGCGGTTGGCTTTGGTTTTTTTTTTTTTTTTTTGGAACTGAATTGCGGTGTGAGGTGGCCAAATGTTTCTTGGCAACTGCTGTTCAAGGAGAATTGGATTTGGTTGTAGTCATGGTTGGGTCTTGGTTTCCAACTAGGAAACTACTAGAGCCGATCCTTTCTCCCTTTCTTTTTTTTGGTTGCTTTTCCTTTCTTGTGCGGCTCCCTGAACTTCTTCCCAAGTATGTTTTGGTATTCCACTTGCAAGAAACAACACAGAATTTTCAAGGTGTGAAAGCAAATCAGGTTCGGCAGTCAAGCAAAAAAAATTCCAGCAACTTGGCTCCAAGGTACGCGACTCCTTTCCTTTTTTTTTTTTGTACACAGTCCAAACACACAAGACCCCACACGAATTAAACTACAAACTGGACAGAAACTAGAGCCATCTAGTGACCGAAATTTCTGGACAGATTGGCGCACAACACAACGCCAAAAGGAAAATCCTAGTTGCGGCAAGAAGGGAAGAAGACCCTAGTTGTGGCTGTAATTTTTTTTTCTTTTGGTGGCTGTTTTGCACACCCAAAATGACTCTGCAACACAATGAAAGGACTATGATCTGGGCAAACAATAGCAAGAGACAGCAAAACAGATTGCATGCAATACCAAGACACAAAGAGTACGATAGGGAGCAAAAGAAACCTAGCGGCTGTTTTGTGTTTTTTTTTTGACTCAGTGACTTCAAGACTCAAACACACAGCACTAAGATGCAATTGACGAAAAGAAAAAAAAAAGCTGCAACAGACACAAAGAGTACGTTGGAGAGCAATACAGATTGCATGCGACATACAAAGACGCAAAGAGTACGATGAGAAGCAAAGACCCTAGCGGCTGGTTCTATAGATTTTTTTCTTTCTCTTGTTTTCTCAGCAGGACACAATAACAGCAATGAATAACGAGTCTCGACAACAATAAACAACAACTAGGCACAAGATGTGGTGACACAAATCTGAAACTAATGCAAGACACGATGCACACAACCTGGAAAATTGCGGGCAGCAGCGGCAAAGACAAGGAAAAAAAAAGGATTAGCTGCTGACTTTTTTTTTTATTTGATTACTTCAAGACCCAAACTCACGGACTATGACACAACTAAAGGACAAGACTCACCGCAACAACACAAGAAAACAACACGGACAGGAATGGAAAAAGCTTGCGAACAGCCAAGGTAAAAGAAAAGTTATGGGAATTTTTTTTTGAAACTATGAGACAGACACGAATTAAAACATGAAAGGAGGGATAAACGATGTTACCAACAAGCTAGCTCTGATGCCAGCTGATACGAATCTCGTTGGTGAAGTAGATTCGCGACCCAAGATCGCTTGTTGGATTTGACTTCGGACGCGAGAAACGGTGGCAGCGGAAACCCTACGACCCCTCTAATCCCCGTACTATGATGCTATCAACCCTTTTCCTTCTAGTGTTTCATCTCTTTTGCAAAAATTTCAAGATATGTTTCCCAAGGAGATCCTTGATGGAATGCCACCTGTAAAAGGCATCAAACATCAAATTGATTTGGTTCCTGGTGCACCATTATCAAACAAACCAGTCTATAGGATGGGTCAGAGAGAGACCAAGAAGTTTCAAAGACAAGTAGATAAGCTATTAAGAAAGTGTTGGACTCATGAGAGCTTAAGTCCATGTACTGTTCCAGTCATTCTAGTGCCAAAGAAGGATGGAGCACAGAGAATGTGCATCGATTGTAGGGCTATAAATGCAATAACGATAAAGTATCATCATCTTATTCTTAAATTAGATGATATGTTAGATGAATTACATGGTGCTATTATTTTTATTAAAAATTGATCTTAACAGTGGTTATCACCAAATTACGATGAAAGAGGGAGATGAGTGGAAAACAACTTTTAAGACAAAATATGGCTTATATGAGTGGTTAGTTATGCCATTAGGACTTCCTAACACACCTAGTACTTTTATGAGACTAATGAACCATGTCTTGTGACCTTTCTTGGGAAAAATTATAGTTGTTTATTTTGATGATATCTTGATCTATTACATGATTTTCGATGAACATCTTGAACATTTAAGGGCAATTTTTGAGATACTTTGAAGAGAAAGGCCCTTTGCCAATCTCGAGAAGTAAATCTTTTGCACTAACCATCTTGTGTTTCTAGGATATGTTGTTAGTGAGCAAGGCATTCTTGTAGATGAATAAAAGGTCAAGGCCATACAAGAATGGCCTACTCCAAAGTCAGTTAGTGATGTACAAAGCTTCCATGGTCTTGCTAGCTTCTATCAGCGCTTTGTCAAAGATTTTAGCATGATTATTGCTCCCTTGATAGTCGTACTTAAGAAAAATGAAAAGTTTCAATGGGGAGATGATCAAGATAGGGCATCTCAATTGATCAAATACAAACTCACACATGCACCATTTTTAGTTTTACCTAACTTTTAAAATTGAATGTGATGCATCAGGTGTAGGAATTGGAGCTATGTTGATGCAAGGTCAAAGGCCAGTCGCCTACTGCAATAGAAGTTGAATAGTGTGAGGATCCTAAATTTATTTTATATTTTATTTTATTTCTTTGAATACATTTCTTTACTTTACTTAATTGTCTTAATTTCCTGGGTATTATAAGAGAGTCAAGATTTTTAATCATTTTTCTTCTATAAGTTAGTGCATGTTAAGTTCGTAGTGCATTATGGAAGTAGGACCCACTAGTGAGATGTGTGCGGTGAATTTTGAAGAATAGGAAGAGTTTTGTGCAAAGGGATATTATTTTATAAGGTGTTAAGGGATAATTAGAGGTTAGCTAGATATTTTTAGTATTTGAAAGACAATTAGATGAGGATTAACTTGTAAGGGCATTTGTCAACAAAGCCATGGTTCTTTGACTATGACCAAGACCATTCTTAGCCTTTAATTTAAAAAAAAAAAATTTGACCAAAAATCTTTCATTTTTTTCTCTTCCATGGCCGAACCTTCTTGCTAGAGAAGAGAGAAAAGAAACTCCATCTTCAACTTCAATTCTTGCTTGAATCCTTGAAATTTGATCCAAAGCTTGCAAACCACTCCATAAAAAGTGACATTTAGGAAGGAATAAGGACATTGGTGGAGAGATTTGGGAGGAAAGGGAACTTTTGGTTGCATTTCTCCTTAGGGCTTGAAGGTAAACATATCAAGAAACCATCTTTTCTGTTTTTCC